AGTTGAAACGTCTTACGCAGAGGACATGTTACTTGGGCTCATAACCTGATAGAGGTCACGTGTTTTAGGCAACGTTTGGCTTGTACGGAGCGAGGGGAAGAGCCACCACTCGGGGAGTAGACCGGAGCGAAGACACTTGAGGGGAAGAAGGAAGATCCCGAAGTGCTTGATTTATCGGAGCTTATACTGTCCTCACTACCTAGGTCATCCAATTAATTGGTGCATCCAATCACCAACACACGTCCGCAATCCTACTTGTCTAATCATCGATAGCGTAATCAACGTACCGTAATCATCGCGGGGTCGTGTTGGACCGGTTTGGCTACCGGTATATGGGTACCTACCGTCTGAAACCGGTACCCTTCAATATGCCCCCTCAAAGCGAACACGCGTTGACTCCGAGCGCCGTCGTAAGGTCCTTGTGACGTGGCCCCGGAAGCGTCTTCGTTATGATGTCCGCCAGCATCACAGAGGTCTCGCAGTACTCCAGTTTGACCTCACCGCGCTTGACGTCATCACGAATGTGATGGTACTTGATGTCGATGTGCTTGGCCCGACCATGGTTCACTGGGTTCTTGGTCATCTTGATGCATGACTGGTTGTCTTCGAGGGTCTTGAGCTCTGGTCCCGACTCCCCTGCTGCCGTCAAAATCTCGCAAAGTAGCGGTGAACCCACTTGTCTTCTTGAATAGCTAAACTTAGCGCGATGTATTCTGCCTCGCTTGTTGACAACGACACACTTGACTGCTTTTTGCTCCCCCAACCTACGGGTGCGCTCATCAAAAGAAACGTGTAGCCCAAGGTTGACTTGCATCGGAGTGGTCGCCAGCCCAGCCTGCGTCAGAGTACCCGCGGAAATCCACTTTGTCACCAGGCTTGAAGCAGATTCCATGCTACTTAGCTCCTTGTAGAAAGCAAAAGATGCGCTTCACAGCAGCCCAATGCTCGACTTGTGGGTTCTCCATGAAGCGATAAACGTATTCCACGGCAAAGGCAATGTCCGGTCGTGTCGCGGTCATCAAGTGCATGAGTGCGCCTACAGCCTCGCGGAACGGAGCGTTCACCTTGGTCGATGCACTGCTTGGAACTAGTCGAGAGCTCAAATCAGCTGGACTCACCACCGCCTTGCACTCATCCATACCCAAAACGCTAAAGGATATTGTCGACATGTCGGCGCTGGAAAATCGTCACGCTCCCGTCAGCGTTGTACACCAACTCGATTCCCAGTACGAACGCACACTTGCCACTGTCGGTCATCTCGAAGCGCTTCTTGTGATCGCTCTTGGTGGTTGCAATTAGCTCGGCCGAGCTACCAGTCACCAAAACGTCATCTACGTAGACCAGCAGAAGCACACAGTGACCATCCACAATCTTGATGCAGAGACACGGGTCGTATGCTGAAACTTGAAAGCCGATGGAGCACACGTAGTCGTCGAAGGTCTCGTTCCACACGCGCGATGCTTGCTTGAGACCGTAGATCGTATTCATCAGCTCCAGGCAGTCGAAATCATCATCAAGTTCGACACCTTCTGGCACCATGCAGAAGACCACCTCCTTCATTATGTCATACAGGAATGCTGTCACCACGTTCAGCTGGTCCAGGGGGCAGCCGAGGTACACGACCAAAGCAATGATCATGCGCAGCGTCACATACTTCACCACGGGCGAAAACGTTTCCGTGTAGTCAATGCCGTACTTCTGCTTGAAGCCTTTTGCCACAAGGCGCGCCTTGTACTTCGCGATTGAACCATCCGCTTTGCGCTTGACCTTGAACAACCACTTCGTACCGATGGCCCGCTGACCGTTCGGTAACTTGGCAGCTCGAAACACACCGCAAAGTCGCATCGACTTAAGTTCGGCACGGATGGCCTTGCGCCAATGCACTTGATTAGGCCCGATCACCGCTTCTTGGAACGTTGCCGGCTCAGCGAAATCACCAGCTTCCACTGCGCTGGCACATGCTCGCCAAAATACAGGCGGAGTTCCGTCATCGTCGTCTTGATCCTCGACATCTTTTTCTTCTTCATCGGCCACATCACAGTCATTTCGCACACCTGATCGGCGCTTTGTTTGACGCTCAAACGAGGTTTCTGGAGCAATAACTTTTTCCAAACCGGCAGCCTGCTGTGCAGCGCGCGATCTCGTACTCATGCCGTGAACGTTACTTTGTGCGGGACTTGCGTTTCCCCGCCTGCTTGAATTCCGTTGGGCCCGCAGTTTCGGTATCGTTGATACTGAGAGAGTCGAGGTCGAGATCAGAATCTGCGTCGTCGTCGCTTGGACTAGCCGTCGAAATCCCAAAGTTTGATTCGTCGAAATTGACATCGCAACTGATTACCACCTGCCCCGCCTCGACGTCATAAGCTCGATACGCCTTTGACACTTCTTCATTACCCATGAACAACCCTTTTCGAGCCTTGGAATCCCACTTGAGTCTCTTTTCCCTCGGAGTTAGGACGTACGTCCGACAACCAAACGCACGCATGTGCTTTACACTAGGCTTGAACTTGTACACGATCTCATATGGAGTCTTGTTTTCGATCTTTGGTGACCGTAGGTGGCTCTTAGTGTAGATAGCGGCCATCGCCGATTCGCCCCCGAAACACTTCTCCAACTTAGCATGGTGCAACATGCTGCTACCAATCGTGACGATAGTCCTGATAGCTCGTTCTGTAGTGCCGTTCGTCTGGTGCGCGTACGGAGCCGTGGTCTGCTGTTTGATGCCTCGATCTTCGTAGAACATCTTGAGTGAGCTTGTCGCGAGCTCACGAGCTCCGTCATGGCGTACGAACTTGACCCGCTTGCCGAATTGCGTCTGTACCTTCGTGATATAGCTCTTGAGGCATTCTTCGGCGTCCGACTTGACTCGTAAGCAGAAACCCTTCTTGCATCCACTGACTTCGTCAACGATGAGCAGCAAGTACTTGCCCCCCCCCAACGATTACTCTACCATGGGGTTGCAGATGTCGAAATAAAGCAACTCGAACGTGCCGTTGCTGCGTTTGTCGCGGTTACTGGGGAAAGGCTTCTGGGTCATTTTTCCTTGCTGACACCCGTGGCAGACACTTTCCCCACTTGAGATCAAAGGTGCCTTGGCATCCTTGATCATGCCGTTGTTGACCATCTTGCGTAGCACGTCGATAGGGGCATGGCCCATGCGCGCGTGCAAGTCAACATTCGACTTCGAAGTCACTGCGTTTACCGAGCATAGTGGTGTGCACAGTCAGTAAAGACCATCCACGAGATCTGCTGTAGCCATCACTTCCTTCGAATCCTTGCGCGCAACGTGCATGGTTTCACCGTCGAACACCACTTGAAATTTGCCGCTTTTGTTGATCTGTGGCACCGATTAAAAGTTCTTCTTCATCTTCGGCACGAAGAGTACGTTGTTGATCTCGATCTCGCGCTCATCGCCGTTGGGCAGAGCCACACGCTCGATGATGGTCCCCACACCCTTGATAGCAACGTTAGTGCCATCAGCGACCTTCAGCTCGCCTTCATCTCGTTCGTTCAGCATGACAAACTTAATCTTGTCATTGCAGATATGGTGTGTCGCACCGCTGTCGACTGCCCACATCCCAGGCATACTCTTACTACACATTCCAACGAAACCGCAAACGCCACGCGGTCATAGCCGTGGTCAAAGTCGTCGTTTCGCAACTGGAGATTGTTGGCCTCGCGTCCACAGCTGTTGCCGCCGCGTCGGCCTCCTCGATTCTCATCATTCTGCTTGGTCCAGCACTTCTCAATCACGTGTCCCAATTTCCCGTAGTAATTACACTGGCGAGACCCCCGCTCGGAACTGAACGCCTTCGCCGCGTCTTCAGTCTTCACCGCGGAGGTCTTCTCGCCTTGTCTCTTTGATATGCTCGTTCGTGAGCACCTTCACAACGTCTTGCATCTTCAGCTCAGCAGTACTCATCTCCAGGTGTAGCACGACGCTCTCGTAGCTCTTGGAAAGACTGCGCAACAAGCAGATCGCAGCGTCCTCGGCCTCTATCTTGGCGCCGATGCTACTAAGCTTGGCGCTGATAATGAGAACTTCATTGCAGTGATGCAACACATTCGCACCTTCAGACATCTCCATGCTGAAGAGCTGTCGCTTCAGGTAAATACGACCAGCCTTCTGCAATCCACCGTACAACGTTTTCAAGCGCGCCCACGCGGTCCACGCTTACTCGCAGTTGTCGACCGCGTGGTGGTAGTCCGCATCCATGTGCAGCAGCATCAATCCGAACGCGATGCTGCTCCACTTAACATACTCGTCCTTCGCACGAGGGTCCGTGAAGCTTGGAGTCGTCTCTCGGTTCACGACATGCCATTCTGACTTGGTCAGGAGCACACTACACATGTAGCGGCTCCACGTTGCGTAGCTGTCACCGTTGAACTTGTCGATGAACACCTTAGTTGAAACGTCTTACGCAGAGGACATGTTACTTGGGCTCATAACCTGATAGAGGTCACGTGTTTTAGGCAACGTTTGGCTTGTACGGAGCGAGGGGAAGAGCCACCACTCGGGGAGTAGACCGGAGCGAAGACACTTGAGGGGAAGAAGGAAGATCCCGAAGTGCTTGATTTATCGGAGCTTATACTGTCCTCACTACCTAGGTCATCCAATCAATTGGCGCATCCAATCACCAACACTCGTCCAATAATCCTACTCGTCTAATCATCGATAGCGTAATCAACGTACCGTAATCATCGCGGGATCGTGTTGGACCGGTTTGGCTACCGGTTTATGGGTACTTACCGTCTGAAACCGGTACCCCTCAATACGCACCTGCTACCTTTTAAAGGTTTTGAGCCCCGATGCCAACGGAGTCCGACCGCGCAAGGGAAGACGGCAACCCGGATGTCGCCGCGGCGGCACCCACGAACGGGACGAGGCATCGAAGCTGCTAAGGCTGCTCCGCGTCGTCGCCGACCGGCTGGACAAGCTGCAGGAGTCCCAGGTGAAGCTCGAGAAGCGCGTGGAGACGCCCAAGCAAGACCCCAAGTCCATGGTGAACACGAGCCTCTTCGCGTCGACCCTGGGACGCGGGTCGAGGATGCACATCGACTCGTTGAGCGGCACACCGCAGACGCAGGCCCCTCGCCGGCCGGCAGTGCACCCGCCGTATTTCGGGCTGCGCCACGCAGACGTCGGGGTCCACGAGACGGGCATGTCGGAGCTGCAGAGGCTCGATGCGGCGGAGCACGCCGCTTAGGCTAACCAAGAGGCATAGCAACCACCTGCGACGCCGGTACCAGCTCAAACACAAGCCACTCCTGCGCAGTACCAGCCGCAGAACCAGGGCGAGGCGTTTCGATACCCAGAGGTCCCGCTAGAAGAAGCTTGCGATCCGCCCGTTTGACGGCAAGGAGCTGTACGTCGGGCTGGGCTCCGGCTTTCTGGACTGGGGGCAGAGGGTTTAAGCGGCAGGTGGCGTTCGGGCTGTCGGCGTGCGGCTTCGCGTGGTCGGAGGACGTGAAAGTAGACCTTCTCGGCCACTACCTGTCGGACACGGCCGAGAGGTACAACAACAAGCAGGTGGACACGTGGTGGAACCAGTTGCCCACGTTGCGGTTCGCCATGGAGTGGATGTTGGACGCGTTCAAGACAAACTTTACGCCCGCCCAAGCCATAAAGTTGTTCACGGCGCCGAAGGACATCAATCGATCGTGGTCCGAGCACTACATGTACCTCGTGGCCATCTCCGAGGCCACGGGAAGCGGCGCTGACTACCTGGTACTGAGCAACATCGTCCAGTACGCCTCCGCGGAGCTACGCACGGTGTTAATGGCCAAGGTGGACCAGTCGCGTACCTATTTCCTGCAGTACGTTGAGGAGCTCGCACACTTTCTGCAGTCGTGGGAGACCGTCGCGACTAAGCAGAAGTCGCTGGGCCGCGAGACGGTCAGTAGTGATGGACCACACCAATCAGCTCAAGGAGACGTGGAGCTGCCACAAGTGCGGCCGTGTCGGACATCTACGTGCGGCGTGTCCAGACCTCAAGAAGCCAGGGGACGTCACGCTGGCCTTCGGCGAGCACACCGGCGGCACCACCGACCTGTGGATCCTGAACAGTGGTTCTAGCCGTCACCTCGTGAGCGACAAGTCGCTTCTCGGTGACGTGGAGGAGTGCAGCGACGAGTGCGTGCAACCCAACGGCGAGCCGTTGCACATCACCAAGCGCGGCAAGGTGATGCTGCGTGTCACGGCGTGTGGTGAGGAGCAAATGGTGGAGCTCACTAACGTCTACTTTGCGAAGGGTGTGGTGCACAGCCTGATCTCCTACGGAATGATCGACAAGCGAGGCTTCGAGCTGACCTAGCGTGACGACAACGCGTCGTAGCGGCCAAGGACAACGGACGCGTGGCGTTTGACGTTTGACGTCGAGATGCGGAGCAACGTCTTGGTCGTGCCCGCCGTGGTGTAGCCGAAGCGCGAGCTGCCATCGGACGTTATCATGGCTGCGTTAAACCAGGAGCTCGCGGAGTTTGCAGAGGTGTCGGGGGACGTGCAGCAGGGCACACTGCTGGATTTCCACAAGCGTCTGGCCCACCTCAACTACGACGCGGGAAAGCTGCTCGCCAAGGATCCAAGCTCGGGCATCCATCTGACCGACCACAAGCACGTCTCACGTGCGCAAGCAGACGAAGAACCGTCGGTCCAAGAAGGACGCTGGTGCACACTCGCCCTGGGTGGGGTCATCTGCTCCGACTTGAAGGGGCCGATGATCCCCAAAGATCGGCTGGGCAACCGCTACATGATCAACTTCATCGACGTCAAGTCCAACTACTGCCGCGTGTTCCTGGCGCGTACCAAGGACGCAGCGGCCAAGTTCGTCGAACACTTCCTCGTCTACTTCGAGAAGGAGCTCAACTGCAAGATCCACGTTCTCCGCACCAACTCCCGGGGTGAGTACGAGAACGTGAACTTGTTCTGCAAGCGAACGGGCGTGACCAGGCAGCAGTCAAGCAACGGCAAGGTGAGCACATGCACCGCACCATCATGAACAGGGCGCGGTGCATGATCTTCTCCTGCGGGCTCCCGCTGAGGTTCTGGGGTGACGCGGTTCAGTACGCCACGTACATCCTGAGCCGCGCCCCGGCCAACTCCAATCCAGGGCGTGCGTCACCGCTGAAGGTCCTGACGAGCAAGACACCGCCGCTCGGCGAGAACGTGGTGTTCGGGTCGCTGTGAGCTGTGTACCGGGGCCCACGCAAGAAGAGCTTCGCGGCAGCGCGCGCAGACCGCCATAACTGTGGGCATCGGCGAGGAGACCAAGGGCTACCGGGTCTACTTGCCCAAGGACCGCGTGGTGGTCACGACGCAGCACGCCAAAATCATTGAGACGCTCGACAAGGAGCAGAACCTACGGGTGCAGCGGCTGCACCATCAGGCCGGCGAGACGCTCGAGGGCGACGAGCCGGCGGACAAACGAGCTCAAGCGCCGGCGGCAGGGGCTACGACCGCAAAGGGCAAGAAGAAGCGCACGTCGACCAATAAGAAGAAGTCGTGATCGTGCGAGCGCCACGTGACGCGCTCCGTCGCCAAGAACGCCGGAGTCGCGGCGAACGAGACCGCGCCGTCGCAGGAGGCTACGCGCAACGTCGTGAACAGCGTGGTCGAGTTCGACCCGAAGTCGTACCAGGAGGCAATGCGCAGCAAGCACAAGGACAAGTGCCTTGCTGCGATGACCGACGAGCTGCACGCGTTCTAGGACAATGGCGCCTCGTGTGCAAGCCTGAGGGCTGCCACGTGCTAAATACCAAGTGGGTCTTCAAGACCAAGGTGGAAGCAGAGGGTGTCATCGGGTGACTGAAGGCTCGCCTCGTCGCCTGCGGGAACGAACAGGAGTTCGAAATCGACTTCAGCGTGACATTCTCCGCTGTCATCGAGATGAGCAGCGTGAAGCTGATCTTCGTGCTCGCCAGGAAGTAACGCGTCCCCGCGAAGCATGGCGACATGCCCAAAACCTACGTGAAGGCGGTGAAGGGGTCTGTGCTGGACATATACCTGCGCATACCGCGCGGAATGGTGATCCCGAAGGAGCTGACGCGCTTACTTGGCGTGTCCAGCGACAACGAGCTGGTGCTGGAGTTGAAGAAGGCGTTGTACGGCCTCAAGCAAGCCGAACAACGCTGGAATCAGCTCCTTCACCAGACGCCGATAGGCATCGGCTTCTCGCAGAGTCTCACGGACATGTGCGTCTACTATAGATCCTGCGAAGGCACCCTGCTGGTGTCGGCGTGTATGTCGACGACCTCCTGGTCACGAGCACGCAGCAGAAGGCCGTCGACGCTTTCTTCGGCTAACTCAGCGTGCTCGCGATCAAGACCTTGGGCCCCGCCAACAAATCCTGGGTATGCATGTGATCTACGACGTTGAGGCACGCTATGATCTGGACCAAGAGCTCGCGATCGAGGAAATGCTGCGTGAACACGGCATGGCGTCCGTGCACGACGTGCGCACGCCCATTGAGGCGGAGTCCAACGAAGTCGACGAGACCGCGGACGTACTGCTGCCTCTCACCGGTGGCGACAACGAGATCACGATCCGCACATTTTAATCCCTCGTGGGCAGCTTCATGTGGGTGGCGCGGTGCACGCGCCTTGACATCGCGTACGCGGTCCACAAAGTGTCACACCGCACAAACAGTCCCACGATGTCAGACCGGAAGCTTGGGAAGCGGATCGCGCGTTATTTCGCGGGCTCAAAGACATTGCGGATGAGAAGAAGGGCAACTGCCCGTTGGGGGAGTCGCTGAAGTGTCGGGTACAGCAAGTGGATTTCGCTGCCGACAGTCCGACAGGAAGTCCGTCGCGGGCGGACTGTTCTCTGTCGACGGTTGGTCCGTGTCCTGCCGAAAGCAGACTGGAGTCAGCCTTTCCACCATGGAAGCGGAGTATACGGCAGCGTCGGTGATGGCCGCCAAGTTGCTGGGGATGCGCGATTTGCTCGGTGAGTGGGCGTCGCGTACAACAGCCCGATGTCGCTGCGTGCCGACAGCCAGGCTGCGCTCAACCTGCGCAGCAAAAGCCAGGGAGGCTGCAAGGGCTACGCCCAAATACATTACCCAGGACTCTCGTTAATTAACCGTTCTACAATGCAGGGCATTTCTATCAATACGTTTGAAATGAAATGACATGACATGGCAATTTGTATAGCGAAAGATACTCACGATATCAAATGAAATATTTGGTCGTAGACAAAGGGAGACATCTAATGAGAGGTTTCCCGTTTCGTAGAGCTGGCTGGTATAATTCGCAAAATCAAGATGTCGTTATCGTCCTAAAATGCTAACGCGAACTCGATAAACAATGCGTCTACTCTTTAAAAAAATGCTCTAGTGTGCGCCTTGCAGTTCATCCAGCACGCTCATAACATGCACAAGGTCGTCTCTATCGATCACCTTGGAGAGGAACTCCGTGACCTGGGAGATGGAGAAGCCCGAAAAGGTATGCATCAGTAACTTCTTCATGGCATCGATCTCCTCCTGTGTTGATGTCTCGTACACATCTCGTTGCTGCCACTTGGAAAGCTCCACAACGTGCTTAATGAGGAAAGCCAAGCACCCCGCCTCCATCTTCACCTTATCACTCTCACACAATAGTGAAGCCATGTCCACGATCACTCCATTCCCGCTGCGTGGACGAGAGGTGTCTGTCTCCACTGACGAATCTTCACACGTGTAGCTGTTGGTCAGGAAGAACAAGACGTGTTCGTCGTTCAGAGCGCATGGTGCATCCATCAGTTCACGCAGAAGTTGCAGCGCTTGTTGGCCATTATTTGCTGCACAAAACGCAGCTACAGCGTCTTCAGAGAGCTCACTGGGTAGGTCTTGGACGATTCTTTTCAATAGATTACGCACACGCGAAGCATCCGGGAAGTTACCCAGCGCAGTAAACAGCGTGTGTAGCAACCGTGGTGTGAGTTCACAACAGTCTTGCGCACTGTTTCCGTCGTCTTGAGTCGCTGCTGACATTGCGTCTTCCACGTAAGCAAGCGCACGAGTTACATGCTCCGAATCCTGACTAAGTAGCAGATAGTTCTGCAGACAGACCGTGTCTGGACTCATCCCACGACTCTCCATAATGTCCAGCACTGCTCGTCCAAGTTCGGCTGCGTACTCCCTTCTGTTGTCTATATTCAGGACACAGTTGATCGCATTTCCGTCAAGTCTTTGCTTCAAAAACCCCGTGATAGTGTCCAAGTACTGCACGTCCTCACAATCCACGCCCAGACTACCCAACTGGCGTAGCAACACGCCGAAGATATGCAACGTCGGTTTCACCTTAGCGTCTTCCATTCTGCACCACCACAAGTGGAAGTTCTCCTGGTCTTCTCGACTGGCATACAGACGCAACATCAGAGCGAACGTCATGGAGTTGGGTACAATGTTTAGCTGCTGCATCCCGTCGGCCACAATTTGCTCAGCTAGAGTGTTGTCGTTCTCATCCACAGCGCGTTTCAGGACGGCGTTCTGTACTCGCGGGTTCAAACACGCGTTCGTCTTGGTTCGATGTAGCGACGGAATCGTCTTGAACGCCTTCCATAGTGTGATTGGCGGGATGCTCGTTAACATGTCTGCTAGACGCTCGCCTGTCACCATGGAAATCGGAACACGCTGCTCTATGATCGTGTCGTACAGCATTGCTGCACGCTGGGTTTGCTCACCAAACATGCAGGCCAGTATGGCGTAATCCCACAACATTGGGAAGTTCTCCAACACCCGTTTCTCTTGCATTTCTGGCGTCTGTTGTTGGAAAAGATGGTCGAATAACATCAACGCATGGCGCCATTGATCTTGGCGAATGTATGCGAGCATCGCTTCGCCATACACGTGCAGATTAGGATCCATACCCTTGATTTTCATGGACGTGAAGACACGGAGCATCTCCTCTGCCCGACTGAGGCGTCCATACGCTACAGCAACCAGCGCCTGGATACGAACGTCAGACTCGAGTGGGAGATCCTTGAATAGAGGAGCATCGTTCTGCACGATCGCGTATCTTCTCAGCACTTCTTCCCACTGTTTCGCACGACTTGGAACCAGCAAATACCCGTGGACGACGTCTAATGTAGGAGCACACTTGTCGCGCTGTAATTCGTTGATAAAAACTTCTGATTGCTCTACGCGAGTGCCACAGGAGCACATTAACGCTGCATAAGACGTGGCGTCAGGTATAACGCTACGTCCACGCATATCTGAGAACACTGAGAGTGCGTCGTCCAGTAGAGAGATCTGGCCAAAGTTCCTGAGAGCAGCGTTGTATACTGTCAAGGGAATATCAATGTCGTGTGTCTGCATCTCGTCCAATAACCGATAAATATCGTCCGTGTATCTGTTAGATGGCGCCGCTTCTGGTGGAGGCGCGTTGATGTTAACAAACTGTTGCAATAAAACACGCGCCTTATGCCATTGTCGCTTGACAGCACAGAGATGGATGAGTCGCGAATAGCGCTCCTTCGAGACGGGATAATGTCTGGCCAACAGCTCGTCGCGAAAGAAAAGCGCTTGTGGTAGTGACTGGGCGTTTATTGACGCGTGGAAGAGATCAATCACGATCTCCTGCTTCTCGTCCTCGTCGAGTTCGTCGTCATATGCCCGCAAAAAGGCATCGAGAAGTACACGCGTCGCTGTGGCTTCTTTGATGTCGATACAGAGTCGGATCGACGCCACATGCAGCTCTGGAGATGCCTCTAACCCGTACGTCCGCATCTCTTCCAGTAAATGCTTTGCTCTCATCCATTTCTTAGCTACATGACACGACGCAATCGCGTTTTCGTAGATATCTTGCGACGGATGCATGATCTCTACTGCCTGGTGCATAAAGTCGATGATTTGCAGTGCTGTGCGCCATTGGCCCAGCTGCGCACAAGCTGCGGCCGAGTATTCGAGTGTGATGGGGGAAGGCGACACGCCGGCGTCACGTAGACACGTGTACACTTGCATGACGAACTGTGGGTCCTCTGTGGCGTCGGCGACCATCACCATCACGGTGGCGTCTTGGCCGAGCATGGCCGGGTCTACGTATTGCTGCATCCATCCGGTTACGATCTCCTTAGCTCGCTCCATTGTTGGTCCCGAGGTCACCGGCTCGGCCAGGAAGCTCTTGAGCTCATCGTACTCGTCTTGAGGCACAGGCGGACAGCTGGAGATGACCTGGGAGAAGCTGCGGGGCTGCAGTGCACGACTAGAGAGCGGAGACTGGCGTTGATACTGAGCTAGTGAAGAAGTGGACGTAGCGAAGCTTCTTCTGGACAATACACGACGAGCAACACCGCGTCGTGACGACAGCGTAGTGGCCGATGTGGCGCTTCCATTGTGGACACTGGACGCACGCAGAGACAGCTGCAATAGCCGTCGAGGCACGCGCTGGTCACGACTCAGCATGAGGTCGCACCTTAAGAAGGTTTGCAGCCTCAAAAAAATTATAACTGAAGTGGTAAACACCAAAGCTTAGCTGAATTATGTGGACCACAGAATTTCGGTGTCGCTTCAACTGAAAACAACGATTTGGTAAGTTAAAACCGGCTGACGGTAAGTAATTTACTTTAGTTGGGTGCTGTGGGCGGTAAGGTGGTTTCTTCCTTGTTGGTTGATGTCTTGGAAGATGGCACAGCTGCACCTGTTGAGGTCGACACTTGTGTGGAAGCACTACTGTCGGCGTCAACGAAGATGCGAGCCTTGTCCATCTCCTGCATTAACCGAGTGTAGAGCTCGTCTGCATTGAAAGCAAGAGCCTTCGCAGCTTGACGCTTGTTGTACGATATTGCTAGTCGTAACATGAACGCGTTCTCTTCATCGTATTCCAGCTGCCAGACAGCAAGATTTGTTTTGAGACTATACACTGGTCAAAATAGGAAATATTTTTTTTACTAACCTCAATGGTAGGAACGGTACCACCCCACTCCTTCTTGTCCTTTTCCTTCCATACCACTTTAGCGATACGAATCCCGCCTTCGTAGTGGTGCGTTTCATTCTACCAAAGCAGGATATGTTAGTAGGAAACAAAGTATTAATATATGCCACAATGATACTTTACATCCAGGATCTTGTTCCGTAAGTAACTGGAGAGATTCTTAAGCTGTATGGAAGCTTTTCGTTCCACTTTGACAGACACAACGCCTTGCGCCTTAAAGCTAAGAAATTTTAGCAAAAAGATCACACCAGCGCCTACAATTAACCACGCGAGGAGACTGAAAAAGAACCACAGCCCCGGGTTATTGTAGAGCATAACTTCGACAAAGCCTTTCATCCAATCTTGGTCGGCAACTGTCCAGTCTCCAGTGATTCGATCCAGGATATTAAACGCCAGTAATCCACTCAGCATCATCTTCATGATCAGTAGAGTCGATGCAGAGCGCTCGTTTATCTCTTGCAGCTCACACAACGTTCGTGTGTTCATACGTATAGACTCGTTCTGCTGGAAATCTTTCTCCCTCGAGACAATACTCGCCATCTCGTTTAAAACAGCCAATTCGTGACGTGCACCGCCCATGTTCTTGTGCAAATCTTTCACTCGACGCTTGAGTTGGTTGCTTAGAATGCCCAGCTGAAGTCGCTCATAGAGGCTGCGTCCTGCTTGCTCTGGAGGTTCTGCTGGCACCATCGCTTCATCTAGAGATTCTTTTAAGTAACTCAACGTTTCTTCCATCATAATAATTTCTCTAGAGAGAGCAGCCAGTCGATCCCGGATTTCTCGTAAGCGGTTCGGATCTTTTTCCGCAGTCTCGATGAGTTTACGTACTTGTGCCATGTCATCGACGATGATAAACATTCGAGCGAAGAAGTTCTGAGTGAACAAGTTCATGGACTCGTACTGCAGAAAACTACACAGTAATGGCTCGTGATGTCTGCTATTTGGACCTGCAATTAGTAATCCATGTGCTCCAAACACGAGGGTATCGTGCTCACTGATGTCGAATGCAGCACGAGTATCCCCGATAACTTGTTTCAACTCGTTCTCGTACTCGCCTTTGTCCATGTACTCCTCTGCGGTTAAATGAGGTGTAATCTCGTTCGCGATGATGAGATTAATCTTGTTGCGACTAGCGGCCTGGTTTGAAAAGATAAGTTCCAGTAATGAGCGTTGGTATGCTGACAGCACGCTGTCGACGATCTTGGAAGAGTCCATGTGGACATCTACCAGAAGTCGAGAAAGATGATCAAGTGAAATATTGTCTTTGATACGATCCATGATCGCCTCCACCTGCATTCCGTATAAACAAGAACCAGCAGCTGTAAGCGAACATCCAAAGGTTTCAACCTGCACGACACCAGGAGCTTCAGGGAAGTGGATATCCGCTTCAAAGTTGACGTGGTTGGTCATCGTGTAATCCAAAATATTTATCGAGGTGAGCCCGGGGTCAACGGATATCTGGGTTCCACTTGCGTTATCGTCGACGATAGCAGTGAAGAAGCCGCCTTGTACGCGCTCGGTAGATCCTAGATTACAATTCAATTGGACAACTTGGTTGGAGCCGAAAGGGATGTACTCGGCTACTATGAGGGACACCGAATTTAGTGTGATGATCTCGTCCAGTTGGTCTCGGATACTGGAATCGCTCACGCCACATTCGTGAGCTCGATGTGCGTTACTAAGCGTTGGTCGACCTCCGAAGCGTAGACATTGAGGGATATAAGCACTGGAGACGTATGATACATCCTCCGTCTCTGTCACTGACGAGAGTCGTCGATACCCACTTTCGTCATCCACAAGCCAATACTCTTCTCCATCCCATTCTACTCGTAGCAAATGCAGCGTTCCGGGAGCGTACGCCATGTCGTTGACGGCTAATTTGTCGGTCTTGCTGATTTTCGCCACAATTTCCAATCCCTTTTCGGAAATTTGAAAGCAAGTCACAGGCTGGTAGCTTTTGGACGAAAGTTTGAGTCCGTTGACCAAGTCTTCTTCACGTAAGAAATCGAGATCGGACTTTCCTTCTTGTGAGATGTTGAAGTACTTGCGCTTGTTCTCCACTAGTTCAGAAGACGGCGCATAGTCATAATCCAGTGCCTTGGACACGATCGCTTCGTACAGCAACACTAGCAGAGCTGGCTTACGAATCCACTCCTCCTTGTCCGAAGCGCGGACAGCAGGCTTCGAGTACATCGAGATCAAGTACAAAAGACGGTTCTGGTTCTCTGTTAACCCAGTGTCTTCCTCGATGTCCTCGTCACTTTCCTCGTCTTCTTCTTCAGCACTTTCTTCATTCTCATCTTCAACGTCATCTTCGACTTCAGTGTCTTCTTTCTCCTTATCATCCTTCTTGTCACTAGCGGCAGGTTTCTACATTAACAAAGCGCAATGTTAATGATCATTATCCAGTCTGAACATGCACGTACTTGCCTTCATTGCTGATCCGTTCCAGTGGCCTTTAAGTCGTTTCAAGACAGTAAATGAACGGTCTCTCATTTTTTTAGATACGAATTTAACTCCTGTCTACATAAAGTGACAAGATATGTGGGTAGGTAATAAACTACATGAATGAGAATGGCGTGTGGCATAGCGGGCAGTTCTTCTGGTCACGAATTTCGGCTTCGATGCTCACGTGGCGACACGCTTTGCACATTTTGGTGCTTTGAGTCTGGATCGACATGCCCGTCATCATACACGTCGGGAATGGACGACTACAATTGCCACAACGAGCGTCCCATTCCTTGACTTGGCAACGACAATTGGGACACTCTTGTGGACGCATGGTCGGGTCTTGATGCTCCGTCCGCGTGGTAGTGAAGATCTTGAGAGCAAGTTCACTCATCGCCTGTAGCTCCTTGTCGTCCAAACCGGGGAGCGTCTCGAGCTTGACAAACGCCTTGGAGCATTGTTCGTAGTGTTTCGTATAGAACGCTGTGAGGGCGATGAGTGAGTAGATCTCCCGCTCTTCCAAAATATCCTCGTAGGCCGATAGCTTAAGACACGTTCGTAAAGCTCGGTCGATACGTCCACCGTACAGCTGACGATGAGCGAGAAGATAGAGGTGATACGCTTCAGCACCACGCCAAGGATTGTCCAGAGACCGGTCCTCTCCTGTTGCTGCGTCATGTTGCACCAGACTCTCCAGCGTCTGCGCAGTCACTTGAGCTGCGGTAGTGCCTCTTGTACTAGTCAAGCTGGACACGTCCAGCATCTTCTTCCTCATCCGCTCCACCTCGAACGCTGCTAGCACGTGCAGTTTCTTGGCACGTAAAGGGTTCTTCGCCACTTCTTTCGCTAATTTGGCCAGTAGCTTCGCAGCTTCCGTGCTTTTGTTTGCACGTCGGTATAACTCGATGGCTTGTAGAGTTTTCCCGTTCATCATGAGGTGATTTGCGTACTTGGTAAGGACATTCTCGATCTGAGGAAAGTTGTATTGTTCCGCGAGACCCACAGCGCGTTCCCATTCGTTCAAGAGGACACAGGAGTCGATGGCAGACTTGACATCCCCCATACGAACATACGTCTCAACAGCAGACTGACAAAGTCCAGCTCGTGTGAACTTAATGGCCATCTCTTTCAGTAGTGGAGAAGTCTCTGGAATGTCGTTCACCAGCGCTTCTAACTGGTTGAAATCTCCCATTGCGTAGTAGCATTGCGCCAGTGCATTAGTGTTTTTCGCCTGGGCGTAGTATTTGATAGCCTTCTCCCACTTGTGACGGTCAGAAAAGTACTCTCCGATCATATTCCACGCATGAGTCAGCAAGTCGTCGTTGCCCCCACCTGATTGAACAAGCTGAACGACGCGAAACCAGTCGCCAAGTCGCTGACGGAGATCGATAGCCAGATCTTTACGGTCGATTTTACGATACAGCGCCTCGGCTTCGTCAAAATTCTGGAAATACGCTGCGACTTCCGCTTTCTGCTTGACTCGATCGTTGAGTAGTTGCAATCTCTTGACGTACTGGATGCCGCTGTAGTCTCCACACTTGACGAAGCCACGCTCGGCCATGCCGAAGTCTAGTTGATCCAGTGCAGCTTCGGCCAGTAGAGACCAGAGTCGAGGGTGTGGGTGGTCCTGTATGTACTCGCAGGCTTCAGCAAGCCCCACGTTGTCCAGCAACGCCTTGGCATCTCGCAGTGATCGGGTCTGGAACTCTATCACCATGTTCTTGTCTGGTTGTTCCGGGTTGGCAAGGATCTCGTCCAGGAGTGCAGCCTTCACCTGTAGGTCCTTGTAGTAGCAGAGATATCCAGAAGACGCGACTGGTTCTTCAGGCTCGAGACCGCGATACACGTACATTCGAGCCTTCTCCATCATCACGAATAGCTCCGGGTTGTCTTCAGCCCACACGACGTCCCATGCGTCTTTCTTCTCAAAGTTTAACATCTTGCCTTGTGTAGTGTTTAAACTTCCAGCCGCACCGACCTCCATGATGGTCAACAGCCCGTTGATATCGATCACACTCAGCAACGTCGAGTTGCAGTTAAGAGCAAGGAACTGCGGACGGCAGTTGACAATGTACTTCATCTCCAGCGAAATATGAGGCAACGTGAAGCAGTGGATCAAGCCACTTGCTCTGGCTGCAAAGATCCAGCTATCCGACGCGCAGATGGCGCAGATGGGGTCTTCTAGCTGCCGAGAAACGTATCGAAAGTGCTCCACGTCGTTGCCTTGTGTCTCGTCGATGTAGAATGCCTTCTCTCGGCCTCCTCGCTGTAATAACTGCGAGATCGTACTGATATCCATCGCGTCGTGGCTCGAGCCATTACCAGACACCAAACCAGTCAATTTGGCGCTAGAATTCTTGTACTGCCACACGTAAATCGCATCCGTCGAAGCTGCCACGATGTGACGAGACGTCATGGACACAAACAGCGGCTCGAAGTCGATGATCTTGGACTCGATTGGAGAGCCGATTGTGTCGCAGAGGATCAGTTGGTACTGGACTTCCTTGAACACGCCTTGTTCATCGTCCACCAGCTGTCCATTGACTTCGCCTGTGCCCATATCTTCGTTGTATATCTTGGTCACCAGCACACAGTTGTCCCCTGCAGCTTTGATCGCTAGAAGACCACGAATATACTTGGTACAGCGTTCGTCCGACTTAGTGTCCCAGAAGACGACGCAGTTCTCGATCTGATCTGCGCGGTTGTACGTGTACACCAGTGTGTTCGCATAGAACCCCCACTTGTACGCTGGACGGATGTTGGCAAAGTAGATGTGTGAATCGACCGCTAGACAGATGCGTAGACCTGTTCCTTCCCATGCCAACGCTTCGATTCGACTCCCCGGTACGCGAAGCGAGCGTAGATGACGTCCAAACGGGTCGTAGAACTGGACGACGTTGAACTCTTTCGACGCGTCACTTTTTGACGCAGAGGTGTCGACTTGCGTCCCTGCCAGAGCAATGACGCTGCCGTCGTTGTTCCATCTCACCTGAGTTAATTCCATCCCCGTGTCGATCAGAACGGCATTCTCATCGAATCTTCCTCGAGTGATCTGCACTTTACCGTCACGGAAGGCGATGGCTAACGTGGGGGCCTCTGGACTGATATGTCCCTCAATACCGTCGTACCAATGGACACCGATAATCTTGTAGTCGTTGCCACCACCGCGGGATTCCACGGCGTACAGTGTTAAGTTGCTCACTTTGTTACCCATACCGTCGTGTACTGCTACTTCACCGTCTTTGGTTACAAATAACAGCGACTTGCCGTCAGGTGACCACTCTACAAAGGCCAATTGGGTCTTCATCTCTTTACCCCAGAGACGATTGCCGTCGACAGAGCCGACGATCACAGCGCCGTCCTCGTAGGCGATGCAGATCTTTTGACCGTCGGTCGTCCACTTCATATCGCGCACGACGCTCTTGTTGCGGTTGTTGATCATCTCTTCGTACCACATCCCACGGTGTAGAACCCACACGATGATGAGTCCGTTCTCGTCACTTGTCGTGAGCTTCTTAAAGTTGGCGTTCCATGTAGCACAGACGACGGCGTTGTTGTGGCCTTCAAGCGACTGGTTCATGGTGAGATTGCTAGCGGCTGCGATACCGCGTGGGCCTTTGCCATCGGTCTGTGCGGCTGACTCGAGACGCAAAACTTTGAGCAGGCCGTGCTGCCCACCGCAAGCGATCCAACCCTGCTCCGTGTTCCATGATGCGCATCGCAACTTGACATTATTGGGGATGGCGATCTTCTTGCTAAGGAAGATAAACATCGCTACTGCTTAGAGCTTGGAGAAGTCGATCTCCTTGTTGAGGATCTTGTAGATGGACGTGAAGCGGCGCGTCCCTTGAGCGCAAATAACACTCCATCGATGAAATAAGACCCAATTTGAGCAGTTTGTCGGACACGTGATGATACATTTGGATATGACCATAGATGAAGCACGTGGAGAAGCTTCCGGACCTCCTCATCACAACGGGGCCAGTACACCACGTCGACGCCCCACTACAGCTATAGAGGAGGAGCGCTCTTGCTCAAATACACTGTAGCTGAGCCTCAGCCAGAGGAGCTTACAATGTAAGCTCCTCTAACATGTAAGTTACATGTTAGTGCAGGATTGCAAGGTGCAAATGATGACTCCACTGTGGATTCTATCTGAGACCAAGCCGATCTCTGTTTACGGGCCCCCTCGTTTTGTATGTTCAGGCCTGAACTTCAGGCTGAACTTCTGCAGTGCACTGCTTGGCGTCCGGCAGGCAGCAGCCAAGCATCGTCGCAGCATCGAGGATATCCTCATTACCCAGCTGGCAGAGACGGCCGGTAATTTACAGACCGGGCAGACATGCGTTGAAGGCTGGATACGGCTCAGATCCAGACAGTCATTTTTGTCGGTCTCATGGCTGCCCGTCGTGGACGAAGCGTAAGGGTCATCGGGAGGAAGATGACTCAAGTAACGTTAGTCGACTTGGCTGTTAGTCAGCTCGAACGGCGCTTTTGCGTTTCGCATATCCGGACCAAAATTTATCCACCATCGCGCTTGATCATTGAGAACTCGAGAGCCATGAACTCGCTGGCAAATTCAAAGCTGGTAAATAACGTATTATTGAATCGTTAGAGGTGTTATTGATAAGCTTACAAAGATCTTTGTCCGGATAAAATCTTGAGACTAATTCTATCAGGTTTGCGTAAGGTTTACAACTGAGCCTACCGCTTCAGAGACGAGGCGGTCGCCCCGCTCAATCGTCCTGCATTCACTATGTCTTAGTCAACCCAAGATACAATTGATACGTGGACCACCATCGTCTTTTATTGCAGAGTTTTTTCTTGTCAAGAAGGCAGCAAAGCAACAGGAGCAGAGAGGAGGCCTTCATTGTCAGGCGCCTCGCTCCACTCACCAGCACCGCAGTTCCGCCATCGATTCGAGGAGAGCATTCAGCTAATTTGCGCTCCAATCAAACGTGGGTCACTCTACCAACCTTCTTTATTTTGGCCTGCGCGCTGCACCTTCCCATCTCTTACACCTTCGTGTGTTGATTGTGCCGTCCGTAAAAATAGTGAAGACAGACGCCTGTCCCCCACTTGACTCAGACACAGTACAGATCTCGATTCGTGCAACGATGGCCAAGTCTCAACAAACGTCCGTTAAGATCCTGCGTACAGGCGTCAACGCTATGCGCACCGTCAGCAGCCACGCTGCGTCCAAGGCCTCGGGCCTCGTTGCACACCCGGCTTTGCGTCCTGTACTCACGAGCGTCCTCATGCTATCACTCGTGGCCCTGGCCGTCATGAGCCTCGGCCGCTTCCAGCTCTGGATGACGGGCGCCGGTGTCTTCATGGTCGCTATGAGCATCGCTAGTGCCGTGCAAGAGTTCAAGTTCCCCAAGACCGCACAGTCGTACCAGGACTTCCTGGATCAAGAAATAGACAAGTGCAGCCCCGACATGGTCACGCTGCCCCATCTGTCCCCCGCCAAGACCAGCGCTGCGAAGAAACAGCAGAAACAGGTGCCTAAGGACGAGATATCTTCCATGGCGCTGAACATCGCCTCGCCGGCGATTCCAGCCTCTATGACACCCCTTTTCCAGGAGAAGATTAGTCGACGAGAGAGTGAAGACAGTATGGGCGCTCTGGAGTCCGCAGTCAACCCGACAATCGTGGAGACCGCAGAAGTTAGTAACAAGCTGGACGTGCTCCACTGTGGCACCGTGATTGATATCCAGGGATCGCACGGGTTTATCATCCCGCACGACTTGTGTGTGGACGCCACGGAGACTCGTAGTGACGCGGTGACTACACTTAACCGATTAGACAAGCAGCACAAGATGCCGCTAGTTATTCCATTTCACCTCAGCGAGGAAGTTCGTCAGGATATTGCAGTAGGCAAGACGGTGGAGTTTGCGTACTCGGAGGCAGCGACGAAGCGTGCTCTAAACGTAACACCAGTACCAACGGACGACGGTATCGCTAAGAGCCGCTCTGCACTTCAGTCGTGCAAGCAGGCACGCGAGGTGTCATTTGCACGAGCTATGGAAGAGCTGACGATGATCTCGCCACGCAACGTGCCAGTGAAGCACCATGTGGACTTGATCAAGTATGCTGAGGAGCTGGACGACTACGACGCCCCCTTCGACATGTAAGGAGAGGGACACAACATAGGGATGGCTGACGAGCTTCGACTTGTTTGCATGTGAATACAGTTGAAACACCGTGATATAATACTTTCTGTACCATACCGGTACTTACCGTTAGCACAGCTCGATGCTCCTATACACTGCAAGATAAATGCAAACGAACTGTGAGCTGCAGAAGCCTATTGATCTACACGAAATAGTGGTCGAGCGTATGCGGTGGTAATCGGTTCCAACCGCCTCGTTCTTTTCATCTTAACCCACTTAGCTTAACATGATGATACTAACGGTACTTCTCGTTCTATGGTGTGTGCCTGGCTTCCGAGGTATCTCCATTTTACTGCGTAGTGCCATCCGCCATGATCGACTGGAGCGCTTGGCTAGCGGCTGTCATAAGCGGTGTGTCACCGTCAAGGTCTTCGATATCCACCAATGCGCCGTGTTTAACCTGCGTCGAAAATTATTTACGTCAGCGACTGACTCAGTCCGCTGCATAAAGGCTCGTGGAAAGTGTCAAGTGGACAAGTCATACCAGCAATTGGGCCATCTCCTCGCGCTCACAACTGGCCGCGTAGTGCAGCGGAGTCATTCCTTCAGTGTCCTGTTGTTCATAGTAACAATGCGTTCGTTAAGATACAAGAGTGGCGATGTAAGTCTGGGTCCAGAGTAGCTTACCTGAACGTTCGGAGACGCCTTACGTCGCAGTAATTCCTCCACTATGGTCATCTGGTCCCGGTCCACAGCCCAATGCATCATCGTTCGTCCTTCTGGGTCCTATTATTCACAGTATTAGGTCACATTAGTTACAGCGTGTGGGAAGTGACAGCGCTCAACGATGTACATGTACAGTAATACTTCAAACACTTGGGTACCTGAGCGTTAATATTTTCGCCGTGGTCTAAGGCAGCCAAAAGCTTGTCTAGATCCCCTGTGCTAGCGTAGTGGAATATATCGTCGTTCACCTTCCACTCTTCGGTTGACCTGAGTATATTTGACAAGGAAGAATTAATACAAGCATGCTGGAACGGAGTCCAAAACTCTGGAAAGCGGTTACAGCACATACATGTCCACTTTGGGCAAGCTAACTGCTCCAGCCATCGAGATGGATCCATCCAACGACATGGGTTCACTCGTAGCCTTTGGTGACGACGAAGACGAGGACGAGCGCCATCGCTTAGGACCATGCACGTCAAACTCCTCGAACAGGTCCTGTACCCATTCTAAGTACTGATGCTTGGCCAGATCCTGGTTCATGTCACCCAGCGCCTTCCAGCTCTCCCTACACAATCCATGTGAGTGCCATTCAGCTAACCAACTCGCTGCACCACGCACCACTTGGCCGATCCCACCATATCCACCGCAGAAGGCTTGTCCACACTGCATTTGCCAAAATGTGCTTGCTTATAGAACGCATACAGCGTCAGTTTCTGTCGCACAATAGACACGTGGCATCAAGCATGTCAGTAGTCGCGCCACCGACACATTCGTCCCTGTCCCAGCGTCACCTGCTCGTTCGTGAGCTTGTTGTTACCCCGCGCAGCCACGAAATCAACGGCGACTTGGAATTTAGCGTCCAGTTCGTTCATACCATGCTGTAGTGCGCAGTCACATCGATAGAAACGCTTAGCTAGCAGACTGTAGCCAAGCACAAGGTCGGAATGAATAAGATACCTTTGTCATGTACTCCTCGAGCGAGCTGCTGCCCGCTGAGCTCTCATGGCTCGCCTTCTCATAGAAGAAGATGCGGTGCAGCAGCAGCGGCACAACGACGGCGCCTGCTGCAGCGCAGGCGACGCCCAACCACGTCATCTCCATGAGCTCTTCAGCCATTCTTGCGCTTCAGTTTTCTGCTTCGAAAAAATGGCGCATCAGATACGGTTCTATGATTCGTCAATATTGGGTTACTTTTATCCAATGGATAGTGTGTAATAATTCTTTCGAGCAAAATGTTCTTGAAGACACAAAAGTTTTCTTCTGTCGAAAACTTGCCCGGTCGCAGATGTAGTGGGCGTCAAAATGTCGGTCAATGGCTGCCACGGAGTTTTTGTTTCTACCGGGTCGCACATGTAGTGGCTTCTTCAACGCCATCCTCTTAATCCATTCTTCTTCTTCTTCATATCATTTGCGAATTTGTTCTGCAAAGTCAACGCAAGGCAAACCGAGAAATACAATTATGGAGTCCAAGAAGATTGAAATCATCGCAGGAGGGATGTTGCACGAGCTGCTCCGTCGTGAGTTGCCGAACGACCGCAATATGCTGTCGGCGAGTGCGTTGGTGTCGCCGGCTCACCATCGTCTGATAGTACAGGCACACGAAGCCTACCTTAAGGCTGGAGCGACCATGATCGTAACCAACAACTACTACGTGACACCGGGCGTGGGGTTCACATCCGACGAAATCCGCGAGTACTCGCAGACAGCAGGTGAGCTGGCCGTTGGCGCTCTAGCGAGAACCAACCGACAGGACGCCAAGATCTGCGGGTCACTGCCGCCGCTCATGCACAGTCTTCGATCGGATCGTACCATCGAGCGTCAAAAGGGACTCGATATGTATTTGCTGATCGGAGAGGCTCTGTTTCCATCGGTTGACGTGTTTCTGGCCGAGACCATGTCGTCTCTTGCTGAAGCCAAAATGGCGTTTGAAGGCGTGCAGCCACTGCAGAAGCCCGTGATGGTGTCATTCGCACTCAATAGTACCGGACAGCTGCGCAGTGGTGAGGACGTGATCGAGAGTGTGAAAAGCTTAATCAAGTTCTGCACACGTAGCATGGAGATGTTGCCGGGCGAAGCGGAAGGCAAAACGGACCTTCTACAGGGCATCCTGTTCAACTGCTCGCAGCCAGAGGATATCGCCAAGGCACTGTCGCAGTTGAAGGGAAACCAAGCAGTGATGGAGGCTCTGCAGCAGCACAATATCCGCATTGGTGGCTATGGAGACCGCATCTCGCCGATGTCGAAGGCTGGCATCATGGAGGAGTCGCTCGTGCCTGGTGCACTGCAGTCCGTCATGGACATGGAAGTCTACAGCAAATTCACTACGCGCTGGATCGAGGACGGCGCCAGTATCGTTGGTGGATGCTGTGGCATCTCACCGGAGTATCTGCAGCGCATTGCGGAGGTATTGTCGGAGTAAGGCAACAACCACCTTGAGTACTTTAGCCGCTAACTACATTTCACAAAAATATATTTACTTTCGATATTTTCGCTCTTGACTTGTCAAAAATTCGGATAAGATTTTATGTGGCGTCGTACATGTATGATGACCACGACAACACGTAGGATCCCATGCGTGACGTTGCTAGATGGAGGTACAGGTGAAGAGTTATTCGCTCGCGGGTTGCCTGACGATCGCTTTATTTGGTCTGCGACGGCGCTGGTGCACGAGCAGCATCATAAACTGTTGCGAGAGGTGCACACGTCGTTCCTGGACGCCAACGCGGACTACATCACGTGCAACAACTACGGTGTGACGCCTGGTGTGGGCTTCAGAGACGAGGAGATTGTACGCTACACTGCCGTAGCAGGTCGAGTGGCTCGTGACGCCTGCGATCGATGGACGAAAACCTACCCGACGAGTCCAAAACCGAAGATCTGCGGGTCTCTGCCTCCGTTATTAGAGAGTTACCGAGCCGACAAGGTACCAGAACATGAAGAAGGAGTGAGACTGTATGCAATGATTGCACGGACACTAAAGCCGTTCGTGGACTGCTACTTGGCTGAGACGCTGTCATCTACTCAAGAAGCCAAGATGGCGTTGCTCGGAGTGCAACAGGCCAAGGGTGAAAAGGACAGAGCTGTGGGGGTTATGGTCTCATTCACACTGGACAGCCAAGGGCGTCTTCGAAGTGGAGAGAACGTGTGTAAGGTAGTAGAGAATGTACTAAGCTTTACTGCAGGCACGTCAAGGACGGAGTTGCAGGCTATTCTCTTTAATTGTTCACAGCCCGAGGACATCTGCAAGGCTCTTAAGGAGCTCCACGATGATGACAATACACAAGCAAGTCTACGTAGTCGTGGGGTGCGTTTGGGCGCGTATGCTAATCGCCTTACGGTCATTCCGGATGATTGGGCGCTCGCGGAGTCAAGTGAGCCACAGGCCATGCGCAAAGATCTCGCTGTGGAACGATACAGAGATTTCGTCTCGCAGTGGGTAGAGCTGGGAGCTGACGTTGTAGGCGGGTGCTGTGGAATAGGACCCGAGTACATTGCCAGCATCCATGATATGCTGCAACAACAAGGTCGACGCTAGCAAAGGATTCGTGCGTCACGTAACATTTAATCGATGGATTCCGAGGTTATGGCAAGCAGCAGTTGTGAATTTTCTGGTCCATTTCGCATTTTTTAAAGTCTGGAAATGGCTCACGTCATGTAGACTTTGCAAGTGCTGAGAGCAGCGCTATCGACGCGACTACGCAAACGTCTCTTTACGGTCAACTCGGAATTCACAGTTCGCTGGAGGGCAGTGTCCTCGGACGAGCAATATATTGTACGTGCAGAATTTGTGCTCAATGTGGGCGCGACCGGGTTGACCACGATCGCGGCTCAAAACCGCAACGGACCCATCGTTTCCGATACTGCTTACCGGTATACAGCTACCAACTTTAATTAACAAAGCGATGCTCGGACGCTGTCTTCTCATTAAACAAATTTTGTACTACAGTAGTAGATACCAGGTTGGAGTCGGTGTTCACATGCGCACGGATCTGGCAACGATACAGAGGCTTTGTCATGCAGTGGGTGATTTCAGTGCTGCATTGGACCTGAGTCCATTCGCATATTTCTTTTGTTACAGCTTTAAGAAGAGATTGGTTGGAAACAGCGAAGGCATTGGGTGGATACTCAAGAACAGCAAGTGATACCTACCTGGCGTGATTTCAAAAGCAAGTAAAAGTACTGTGCACCTACCGATTCAGCACCCTTAAAAAATCAGTGGTTCTTTTTAATACTTTGCAGGCCATCGCTGACGAAATAATTAACTGCTTCCTACTGCAACCGATTCAAGATGAGCAGCAATATCGTCAAAGTGAAAGCGGTGGGCCATATCCAACGGCGTCTCGCCGTCATAAAGTGCCGCACGCGCCTCAACATCAGCTCCAGCCTTAACCAATGCCTCTACGAGATCCAATCGATGTTTCTCCACAGCCTTGTGAAGTGGAGTCATCGTCGTGCGAGAACACACCGCATTCACTTGCTCCGTACTTGCACCTGGAAGCATCTTCTTCAAATATAGCGCGCACTCTTCCTGCGTCATGCTGTCGCTTTCCTCGAGAACCTGGTGCACATTCACCGTCTTCGTCCTGTTGCCGTTCTCCTTCTGCGCGTCGTCAACTTCCAGTACCACCAGTTCATGTGCGAAGAAGGCCCGGTATCTCTCCAGCAACAACTGTTCCTCAAAGGTGTACGCTCGATCTGGAGTCACGTCCAAGTCTTCCACTCGAATCGACTGTACTGCCAGCGCGTACGTGACATCATGACCGACAAAGTGCGCGAACTGTCCGCCGTTCGGGTGGAACAAGCTCGAGTCCGTCACATCATAGCGTCGTCCTTGGAATATAATCGTACGCAGGTTCTTAGCATCATTCGCACTGCGCGTCACCACCTTGCTCACTGTCTTCGAGCCGAAGCCAAGTGGGCATTTGCCACCCGGAGCTGACGACCGCAACCCCGAAAGCAGCCCCGCCCTCAACGCATCCCATTTCTCGCCGACGTAGCGGTCGCTTAGCAGCGCCACCACCTCGTAGCGCGAGTGGAGGCGCACGAACCACTCCCTGGACCAGTTCATGCCGGCGCTTCACGGTCTCATCGTCGCCCTGTAGCGCGTCCAACGGCCATTCGCGGTCCAAGTAGCTGGACACGGCCTCCGCGTCGTCGGCAGCATCCGGCGTAAGCCCTAATTGCAGCAGCAAGAACGTGACATCGTGGCCTACCCACGAACTGTAGATTCCAGCTCGTTCTGCGTCGAAGAAGGGGTCGCCAGCCACGTCGAACACCGCCCCGCACAGCGCCACCCAACGGCCAGACGTCTGCAGCTCTGAGAGAGACACACGCGGCGCAGCCGCCAGTCTCAGCGCTGCAAGACTCGTCGGTCGACGACGCCCCACCAACTTTCCGCAGTAATAGCCGCACACAGCGAGCGCGGCGCCCAACGCCAGCGACAGCAGCAAACGCTCCGAGGTGCTGGTCATTGTTGACGATAATATGAGAATGCTCGCTTCAAGTTTGTACTAAGTGCGATTTCAAAATAATTATGCGCGCGCGGCCAGCAGTTCGACGATCTGCTGCTGCATGCGCGCCATCTGCGCCTGGGAAGCCTCGAGTTGATCCTGCATCTCCTGCACAGCGCGCACCAAGTGCGGGATAATGCCTACGTAGTTAACAGACTTCCAGCCCTCGCTGTCCTCCTGCACCAAATCCGGCAGAATCTGCTCCACTTCGTCGGCAAGGAAACCGGGGACTACGCCAGCGGGGAAATTGCGGGCTGGGAACTCGTCTCGTCGCCATTCATACGTCACCTGAAACCAAAGAATAGAGCTATAGGACACAGAGAAACCCATACTGTAATGGAAGGGAAACGTACCGGACGAAGCTGCCGGATGATCTTCTGCGACGATGACAGTTCTTGTATCGCCGTCTTCAGACGCCGATCAGAGGGGGTTGTGACAACTGTGCCGTAAATGGTGCCAGCAACGCGAAGGTCGCTGCCGATCCCGACGCCACCAGTAACAACTAAGGCACCGCTGCTTGTCGTCCCGGATTGAGTATTACTCGATATCAGTACATCACCCTGCGAAACCGTGACACCAGTGTCCACGACAGTCACGCCACCCTTAACGCTGAGTCCACCCGAAGCTATTGTCGTCGCGCCACCTGCCGTCACGGTGAATTGGGGTGTACCGCCTATCTTCGCGCTGATGAGAGTAAACCCACTTGTTGCAGTCGAATCCATGGAGAGCAACGCTTTATCGAAGGCGTTATTCGAGTTTACGAGCGTCAGTGTGCTGGACACAGTTCCACCGTCAGTGATACTCGCACCACCAGTAGTCACAGTGAGCCCGGTGTCCATGATGGTGGCTCCGCCCGTGACACTTAGTCCGCCGGCAGCTATGGTGGTGAGTCCTGATGCCGCCACCGAGAACTTCGGCGATCCGCCAGCGACGCCAGCGCTTATCAGTAGAAAGCCGGACGTCAAAGTGCTAGTGTCCAAGCTGAGTAACGCACCCGAATATGTCCCGGTTGCCGAGCTCTTGACCTTGAGCGTGTCAGCAGTCGTGCTGGTGTCGTAGATTCTAGCTCCCCCCGTGGTTACGGTGATACCGGTGTCGACTGCGGTGATGCCACCCATTATGCTAGCTCCCCCACCAGAGACCGTCAGCCCCGTGTTTGATACGGTGACACCACCGCCGACGGTGAGCCCACCGGCAGTTATAGTTGTGGCGCCAGTGGCGTCGACCTTAAAGACGGACGTTGACCCCACTTTGGAGTCAATGAACAAGAACCCGGCGTTGTTAGTCGTGACCATTTCAAGCACTGTCTTGCTCAAGGCGCCAAACGAATTCGTGAGCTTTAGCGTGTTAATATCGGTGTCATCGGCAATCGCTGCTGCACCTTTGGTGACGGTGAGTCCACTGCTGGTAATGGTCACACCAGACGCGATGGTAGTCGCGCCAGTGGCATCCACCTTGAAGACAGACGTTGGCGCTGACCCCACTTTAGCGTCTATAAACAAGAACCCGCCAGTATCGGTCGTGGTCATATCAAGCACTGTCTTCGTCAAAGTTCCGAATGTGTTCTCCAGCGTGAGCGTGGCCGCATCGGTGGTTTTGGAAATGGCAGCTCCTCCGTCAGCCACCGTGAGGCCACCAGCGGTAACAGTGAGTCCCCCGGCTGTGACGGTTGCCCCACCCAGCACTGACCTTGAGCCTCCGGCTGCGATGGTGGTCAAGCCGGTTGCGTCCACCTTGAAGACGGTAGTGGACGTGGCCGTCAACTTGGCATCGATAAACAAGAAGCCGGTGCCGTCCGTGTCCGCGGCGTTCAAGGCGAGCACCGTGTTGGCCAAGGCGGTGTCCGAATTGGTCAGCGTGAGCGTCGCCGCGTCGGTGGTTTTGGAAATGGCAGCTCCTCCGTCAGTCACCGTGAGACCACCAGCGGTCACAGTGAGTCCTCCGGCTGTGACGGTTGCCCCACCGCTTACAACGCTCAAGCCTCCTGCTGTGACGGTTGCCCCACCAGCACTGACCTTGAGTCCTCCGGCTGCGATGGTGGTCAAGCCGGTTGCGTCCACCTTGAAGACGGTAGTGGACGTGGCCGTCAACTTGGCATCGATAAACAAGAAGCCGGTGCCGTCCGTGTCCGCGGCGTTCAAGGCGAGCACCGTGCTGGCCAAGGCGGTGGCCGAATTGGTCAGCGTGAGCGTGGCCGCATCGGTGGTTTTGGAAATGGCAGCTCCCTCCGTCAGTCACCGTGAGGCCACCAGCGGTCACAGTGAGTCCCCCGGCTGTGACGGTTGCCCCACCGCTTACAACGCTCAAGCCTCCTGCTGTGACGGTTGCCCCACCAGCACTGACCTTGAGTCCTCCTGCTGTGATGGTGGTCAAACCGGTTGCGTCCACCTTGAAGACGGTAGTGGACGTGGCCGTCAACTTGGCATCGATAAACAAGAAGCCGGTGCCGTCCGTGTCCGCGGCGTTCAAGGCGAGCACCGTGTTGGCCAAGGCGGTGGCCGAATTGGTCAGCGTGAGCGTGGCCGCATCGGTGGTTTTGGAAATGGCAGCTCCTCCGTCAGTCACCGTGAGACCACCAGCGGTCACAGTGAGTCCCCCGGCTGTGACGGTTGCCCCACCAGCACTGACCTTGAGTCCTCCGGCTGCGATGGTGGTCAAGCCGGTTGCGTCCACCTTGAAGACGGTAGTGGACGTGGCCGTCAACTTGGCATCGATAAACAAGAAGCCGGTGCCGTCCGTGTCCGCGGCGTTCAAGGCGAGCACCGTGTTGGCCAAGGCGGTGGCCGAATTGGTCAGCGTGAGCGTTGCCGCGTCGGTGGTTTTGGAAATGGCAGCTCCTCCGTCAGTCACCGTGAGACCACCAGCGGTCACAGTGAGTCCCCCGGCTGTGACGGTTGCCCCACCACTTACAACGCTCAAGCCTCCTGCTGTGATGGTGGTCAAACCGGTTGCGTCCACCTTGAAGACGGAAGTGGACGTGGCCGTCAACTTGGCATCGATAAACAAGAAGCCGGTGCCGTCCGTGTCCGCGGCGTTCAAGGCGAGCACCGTGTTGGCCAAGGCGGTGGCCGAATTGGTCAGCGTGAGCGTGGCCGCATCGGTGGTTTTGGAAATGGCAGCTCCTCCGTCAGTCACCGTGAGACCACCAGCGGTCACAGTGAGTCCCCCGGCTGTGACGGTTGCCCCACCACCTCTGACATTGAGTCCTCCTGCTGCGATGGTGGTCAAGCCGGTTGCGTCCACCTTGAAGACGGTAGTGGACGTGGCCGTCAACTTGGCATCGATAATCAAGAAGCCGGTGCCGTCCGTGTCCGCGGCGTTCAAGGCGAGCACCGTGCTGGCCAAGGCGGTGGCCGAATTGGTCAGCGTGAGCGTGGCCGCATCGGTGGTTTTGGAAATGGCAGCTCCTCCGTCAGTCACCGTGAGGCCACCAGCGGTCACAGTGAGTCCCCCGGCTGTGACGGTTGCCCCACCAGCACTGACCTTGAGTCCTCCGGCTGCGATGGTGGTCAAGCCGGTTGCGTCCACCTTGAAGACGGTAGTGGACGTGGCCGTCAACTTGGCATCGATAAACAAGAAGCCGGTGCCGTCCGTGTCCGCGGCGTTCAAGGCGAGCACCGTGTTGGCCAAGGCGGTGGCCGAATTGGTCAGCGTGAGCGTTGCCGCGTCGGTGGTTTTGGAAATGGCAGCTCCTCCGTCAGTCACCGTGAGACCACCAGCGGTCACAGTGAGTCCCCCGGCTGTGACGGTTGCCCCACCAGCACTGACCTTGAATCCTCCGGCTGCGATGGTGGTCAAGCCGGTTGCGTCCACCTTGAAGACGGTAGTGGACGTGGCCGTCAACTTGGCATCGATAAACAAGAAGCCGGTGCCGTCCGTGTCCGCGGCGTTCAAGGCGAGCACCGTGTTGGCCAAGGCGGTGGCCGAATTGGTCAGCGTGAGCGTTGCCGCGTCGGTGGTTTTGGAAATGGCAGCTCCTCCGTCAGTCACCGTGAGACCACCAGCGGTCACAGTGAGTCCCCCGGCTGTGACGGTTGCCCCACCGCTTACAACGCTCAAGCCTCCTGCTGTGACGGTTGCCCCACCAGCACTGACCTTGAGTCCTCCGGCTGCGATGGTGGTCAAGCCGGTTGCGTCCACCTTGAAGACGGTAGTGGACGTGGCCGTCAACTTGGCATCGATAAACAAGAAGCCGGTGCCGTCCGTGTCCGCGGCGTTCAAGGCGAGCACCGTGTTGGCCAAGGCGGTGGCCGAATTGGTCAGCGTGAGCGTTGCCGCGTCGGTGGTTTTGGAAATGGCAGCTCCTCCGTCAGTCACCGTGAGACCACCAGCGGTCACAGTGAGTCCCCCGGCTGTGACGGTTGCCCCACCACTTACAACGCTCAAGCCTCCTGCTGTGATGGTGGTCAAAACGGCCTGGGCACCAGGTGCACCAGGGTCTAGAAGGCACGCGTCAGACGCGACCAGATTAGTGTATGTGTGTGTGTGTGGGGGGGGAGGGGCGGACCGAGTGGTGCAAAGTGGTAAAAGCGTCAGACGCTGAAGGACTCACGGGAGGAAATGAATCAGCAGGTGTTATGTTTAATAAACGAGACGGCAATTGAGATTGCAATCGCCCCAAACCTTTCACACCCGCTACGGGTGCGCAGCCTTGAGTTCAGCGTGCATTCCGGTCACCCACATCACTACGTCTGGCGGGGGCTCATGAAGTTCATACAGATGACTGCAATTGAGGAATGTGCACCCTTTTACGGACTGAAACCGAACGCACACCTGCTTGCCGTTGATTACCGGGATCTGCGCACGGATGCTGGGCGGAATAATTGTCGAGAGATTGTCAGGCCGACGACTGGTCGGACCCGAAAACCGAGCCGTACGACGGCTGCGGTCGTGTCGAGGAGTGCCGCGCGGCTGGCGCCGTCGTGGAGCA